GTATTCCAGCTTCTTCAGGTGGTCATGAACGCTTGAATGATAGATGTTCAATGTTTCTGCAATCTCTCGTGTCCTGTAACATGGGTTTGACTTGATCAATGCCTTTATTTTGTCGTCATCAACTTCGGTGGGCCTCCCTGACCGAGGAGTGTTGTTGAGATCAAAATCACCAGCACAGCATTGGTGGTATAGTAGTGAGCATAGCTGCCTTCCAAAATCACCAGCACAGAATTTCGTGAACCATTGTTGGCACTGACGTTCTTGTAGAGCACTGTCACCGTAAACTTTATGCAACTTTTCACAAGCTTGACACGCATTCTTCCCTTTATGGAAGTAAAACAGTAAAATATGGCAAAAATGCAGTTTGGTCTTCCATCTTCAACTTGTTGTAAAATCTGCAAAACTCAGCCAAATCGCTCATTTTTTTTTTTAGAATGAAGCTAGAACTGTCAGCTGTCAAATGACATAGCAATAACACAGATGTGAATGACTATAGTACTTTCAAAAATGAACTAGTGCCATCTGTTGTAAACATGCGTCATGACTTTTCTGAAGACCCAGTAGTTCTTGGACCGGGATTTACCCAGGGTGGCTTGATGTTAAATATGAATTTAGGTTTGTTCTGTAGTTTCTCACTTAGAAATGGCAAAGTGGAAAGACTGCCTTAGACAATGAAGGGTAAGTGCAACTTTCCAAGTCAGAAATCTGGGGATAAGTTGCAATACAGAGAGAAAGAAAGAAATTATGGTGAAAAGTAGTCTAACTAGAGATGAGTTTTCAGATGTTTAGTCACTGGACTATTCTACACTATTATGATACTATCAATTGTCAATGGCCGGTGACACTCAAACATTCCTTTCTACTTTAGTACCTATGTTCTCCAGGTGTCCTAAAACTCATATAATGTGTTTTAAAGCTGGTACAGATAAAGAAGAAGACGATCAAGGAAAAAAAACCCAAAAAACCCAATCCTGAGGTTTTAGTTCCAAATGCCACTAGGTAGGCCTATGAAGCCCAGCCTTTCCAACTCTGGTTAACTCTTCAGTAGAAGACTCTAAGGTCTTCCTAGTAAGTTGAGCCAAATCAGGAAACCACAGTTTCCAACCCAAAAAACTCCTAAAGTGCAGAGGCTGACTGACTGCTCTTCAAAATGGCAGAGAATCACAGACTTGCTCTCACTGGGTCCTGACCTCCCTGGTTTCAGGTTTCTTCAAAGTGGCTCAAAGTCTCCATGCATAATCTGCAATCGCCAGAGCTTTTCTGTGAGATTTAGGGCTGCAATCTTTCTGAAGACATTCCTCAGAAGTGATCTGGTGAAACCCATTGAGAAGTAAAACAAATTTCCTATTCCTGTGTTTAAAAATATTGAAATCAAACCAAAATAATCTATTTACTGCAGGAAACACTTACTCTAGAAAGAAAACACTGTAAACCAAGTAAGACTGCTTACTTATTAGGTCCAATAGCTTACCTCAAGACCCTCAACTTACTGGGTCCACAATTCAAAACTAGTATGACCCCACAAAGTTACTGTGTGTGTGTGTGTGTGGTTGTGGGGGTGGGGGGGGGAGTGGGGGGTGACAGTACCTGAAATCTACTCTCTTAGCAAATTTCCAGTATACAAAGATGGATACGTTAGCTTGACTGTAGTAATCATTTCACTATGTATACGAATATCAAAACATCATTACCTTAAATATATAAACTTTTATTAAAATAAGTAAATAAAAAAATTTTAAAACTAGCATGTCATAACTCTGCCCGATCCCAGCCCATCTTGCAAAACTCTTTTTAAATTTTTTTAATTAATAAGCTTCATTTTGCAGAGCAGTTTTAGGGTCACATCAAAACTGAGCAGAACGTATATAGGCAGTAAGTATATAGAAACTCCCTGTCCCATATTCTACCTGTCCCCACACACACACACAACCTTCCCCACTACTGCCATTCCACACCAAAGTGATACATTTGTTACAACCAGTGAACTTACACTAACACATCATTATACCCCAAAGCCTATAGTTTATGTAAGGGTTTACTCTTGTCAAATTCTCTTTAAAATCACCCAACTGCAGCACTAAAACCCTATAAATACCTTTCCCTCTCTTACCCCTTCTAAGACACTACTGAAACAGTCATATTGGTGGTCAATCTTACTGCATCAGGTCCGACCTCAGTCACCAGGTTTCTCTAGTGGTTTTTGTGATGGCTTCTTGACACCATGACTTGGCTCATTTCCTTAAAGAGCAGTGATCATGACCCACAGATAGAAATCATTTTATGTCATGATCACTACTCACAGACTAATATACGTTCATAGGAATGATTTGGGACTGAGGCCACAAATCAGGCTGCCTTAATGAGGATGCTAAACATCTATGACAAAGACTTTAAAAAACAAGTCAAGGGCCAGCCGAATGGTGCGTTGGTTAAGAGCTGGCTTGGAACACCAGAGGGCCCTGGTTCGGATCCCACATATGAGGGCCAGTGACACTGCCCTCTACAGCTAAGATGCTGAACAACAGCTCAACTTAGAGCTGGGCTTCCTTGAGCCGCCGGTGACAGCAACAACGACAGTGTAGGCTGCAGCCCCGGCTGCAGTGGGTTGCCATGGGCTACTGTGAGTAGCCAGCAGCCAGCGTGAGCGGCCAGCAGCGGCAGTGAGTGGCTGTCCAGAAGCTGGCGACTGATCTGCCTCGCCCAGGAACAGCGCAGTGATGGTGCCAACTTGGGCCAGTGAAGCAACATCCTCCACAACTAGACTGAAGAACAAAAGGACAGCAACTTGTCTGTTCCCCTTCCCCNGGGGCAAGCACTATGGGCAGTCTATCTGAAGTGTACCTGGTGTATAAGACGACCCCCCACTTGGAGGCATATTTTTCAGGGCCAAAAAGTCGTCTTATACGCCGGCAAATACGGTAAGACTTTGAAAACAATTTTTTATTGGTGAATATATAACGTCCTCCCCACATTTAGAAATGTTGCTTTCTTTACCATGAAAAGTTTCTTTTGGTCTCTCTGCCCCCTCCTACTTCCTCCCTGTTCTGCAGATTACATTTATTCATTTTGATTAACATTGAACATTTAGCAGCCACTCAATATATGACTAGCACAAGCAGTCAACCTACCTCTTGTGGTGAAGGCAGGGACCTCTCACAGGTGACACAGTATTTCAGGTGAGCAGGATTCCCCGTGCCACAAGTACGGCAGATCAGTTTCTCCTTGAAAACAGAAAATAAGAAATACATGTTCCTCTGAGTAAAACACTGTGCAAATAAATTAAGCAGTCTTTTCAGTCAGCCAGCTATAGGCCCTACTTTAACACCCAGACCCTGAAATTGGATTGATTTAGGAAGTATTATAACATAAATAGTCAGAGGAACATAGTTTTAAAAGAAACAAAACCCAAAATGAACAAACTGAAAAGGAGTATTTGTTTGACCTTGGAAAGGGAACTGAAATATGTTGCACTGAAATGTGTAAGTTATTAAATTTTTAATTGTGGAAAACCTAACAGTCGGTAGGCTCTCCCTTGGCTTGAACAATAAACAAAAGGCCTAAGACCGGCTAAAAGCTTATCTATGTGTTTACAAGTAATCTATTCGGTCTTTGGAAAAGTTATGATATATTTTGTCTATATTTTTCAAAGGTCATTTATTTATAAAAAGAACAAAGATCAATCAGATATATTGCCTGTTTTGTTTGATAACTTTAGCCATCTTTCAGTGAGCTTCATAATTCCTTGTTCGTAAAAGGACCTGTCTTTATTTGCGAAAAACTGAACAAGGTGCTGATTTACAGCCTCATCTGAATTGAATGTTATACCATGCAAGGAGTTTTGAAGAGAGCAAAACAAGTCGAAGTCTGATGGCGCAAGGTCAGACGAGTATGGTGGGTGTGGCAACACATCCCATCCAAGCTCCAATAATTTTTGATGGGTGATCAAATTTGTGTGTGGTATTCTGTTGTCGTGATGGAACACAACTCCTTTACAATTAACAAGCTCTGGACATTTCTGGAGGATAGATTCGTTCAAACCGTCCAATTGCCAATAGTACACATTCGAGTTGATTGTTTGGTTCCTTGGTAGGAGCTCTAAAAACACACCTTTAAAATCCCACCACAGAGAGCATAACCTTCCTCTGTTGAATGTCTGCTTTCGATGTCGTTTGAGGTGAATCATCACATCGGGACCAAGACCGTTTGCGCACCACATTGTTGTAAACAATCCACTTCTCATCACCAGTTACCAG